AGGATTATTTAAAGGTATTTATTAAATAAATGATTATTTATTTAAGAAAATTTAACTTATTTAATTTATATTTAATTTAATAGATTATAGCTATTCAAAATAAATCTCTTTTAATGTCAGGAAAAGGAAAAAATAATTCTACAATTATTACTATAATTGAAGATTCGGATTTTTGGACACGACTTAAAATATTTTATCAAATTATACGTCCTTATGATTGTATGATAAAGCTATTTGAATCTAATAATATGACATTGGCTCAAATAACAACTTCTTGGCTTGGCTTGCTGGAATTCTTGAAAATCTTCCACTACCTTTATTAGAAGTAAAGACCTTTCTTCGAAATAAATTAAATAATTGATGGCAAAAAATTTATGATCCTGCATTTATTGTTTCATGGACTTTACATCTATCAAATGATCCTAATTATCTTATGTATGGTGTAGCATTAGATATACAAGAAATGGCTTATCAGTTATTCAAAAAACTTTATCCTCATTATAATGTTAATGCATTTTTAGAAGGATGGTTAGCTTATCGAAACAAAACAGGAATTTTTAGTAAACAATCTCTTTGGGCGCCAATATTTATAAATAATCCTATGAAATTTTGACAAAGTATAGAAGAAATATATCCTGAATTAAGTGTATTTGCACAATGACTTTTTGCAATAATACCTAATGCTGCAGTATCTGAAAGAATTTGGTTAGTATTATCTAATATTCATACAGTAAAACGAAATCGACTAGCGGCTGAAAGATCTGGTAAATTAGCAAAAATTTCATGGCATTTGAAACAAGAACATTTAAAACAAGAACAAAATGAAAAAATAATAGAATTTCAAGAAATTATTGTACAAGAGAGAATTGAATTGGATGAATATAATTTTTCTGATGATATAGAATTGAATGATATAGCTGAAGAAATTTTAAAAGAAACAAATGATTTATTAGGTAAAATACAAGATGTAGATAATGATAATGAAGAATTTATTGATATTTTGATAATTAGTGAAATTTTTAATGTTAAAAAATTTGAGGAATCTGGTCATAATATTAATCTTTTATAAATATATAGTATAATAATAAAATATAAACGGAATTTGGTTGTAATATTGATCTTTTATAAATATACATTATAATAATAAAATATAAATAGAATTTGATTATAATATTGATTTTTTATAAATATATAGCATAATAATAAAATATAAACTTAATTAAGTTTTTTAAGTTTCCTTAATAACTTAATTAAGTCTTAAAAACTTAAAAATATTGAAAAAAAATTTTAAGTCCTATTTCTACCGATCTCCAAAATATTTCAAATTTTTCCTTATCTATCTGAATAGCATTTATTTATGAGTTTATTTCTTTTAAAATATTGCGTTATTACAGGTTATTCCTACTAGATTCTGATCAGAGTAAATTTATATAATGTTACTAGATCTTTATTACTGAGCAGTCAAGTAAGTAAAATAAAAAAAGTATGTATATGCATATTCCCCAACGTCTTTACAATATTGAGATCTACAATACACATTCTGCATGTCTTACTCTTAAACATAAAATTTTAATGTAAAAGGTTTGTTGCATATTCTCCCGCTTTGACCTCCAACATAAACTCAAGCTCAGAGAAGACGTAAATGGAGAAATTGCAAACCATTTAAAAGGAGAGTATATGAAATTTGAAATTATAGTTGCTTATTTTTTACCAGGCGTATACTAACAAAAACTCTTATATCTTAAATTAGTAAATTATATCTAGCTCATCAGCTGAAATTTTTGCTTCATTATATAGCTTTTTAAAAACTTCTTTCTTAAATAAAATAATCACTTCTAGTATAATCACCCAGCAGTAGAATTGTTTCAAAATTCAATCAGAAAATAAAGACCTCAATTGTCTTATGGAGATCTTAAAGAATATAGAGAATGAAGTTAACGATAAAGAGCGTAAATAACATCTTAAATTTTTGCAAAATATTAACCAAGTAATTTACATTATTTTTGTTCTTTTTGTAAAATAGGAATAACATGATGAATATATTGTCTAGATATTAATAAGTATAATGCAATTGAAAAAGCAATATATTGTCAGCGAGAATCTCTTCCATTACACCTATGGTGATTTTTAAGACAATAATACCAGCTAGTTCTAATTAGAATGGGATTTTACACAAAAAAAATAATGATGTTTTCCTGAATTTTATTAACCCATCTATTTATTTTTAGATGCAATTCATTAGAAATGAGCTAGTTTCATTAAAAGATATGGGATTCTTACAAGGAAAATTTAAAAAAGAAGTAAATTGGAAAACTGTAGCATTAAAGAATATAATGCTTTTGAAAGATAAAATCAAAGTAATTGATATATTTATTTCTCATTTTAGAAAATTCGGTCATGTAATTTTTGAACTAAATATTTTTTTAATTTGGTTAGAAGAAAGAAATACCAGCATACGAAAATATTCTTATAGTAATAAATAATATTGATATTAATAAAATATTAAATGATGATCTGTTATATATTGGGGTAATAGATCTTAGCTCAGAGAAATATAATATACTGAAAAGTAATTATGAATCTCTTGTTGTATATATAACTTTATTTTTTTTTCTTAATGTAATTATGACTAGTAATACATTTCCATGTAATAATAATTACTTCTAATATTTATAGAGAGAAAAGGCCAACATAAGAAACTTAAATAAAGATGCAGGAGTAAAGAAAATATGCAATGATTTTTTATCAAAAAGGAATGAAATCCATAAATTATGAAAATTTGTGTTGCTTTCAAGAGATATAGTAATGCATGATCAATAGATTAAAAATGATCATATTAAGGAACGCATAGTTAGTAGAATTACTGATATCCTTTTATAGGAAATTAGGCTAAACGCACTTTGAATAGTTTCTGAAAGATACTAGTAGAAATTATAGTTCGTTTAATAAATATGGCCATGTATTATTTACTTGTAGACTATAAGATTGAAGTTACTAGGGCTGAATATCAAAGTAAAGCTAGTAAAAACTGCAAAGTTTAGCAAAAAAGTGGATTGAGAAAAGATAAACCAGATCTCATATTTTGTGCTTACCTTTGCCAAAAGTAAAAAGAAATCATTTTCTTTGAAAGCGAGAAATGAAATGCTGATGAAGATAAAATCAACTATGACCATAATTAATTAGTGCAACTTTATTTAGATGGGTCTAAAGAACTTATAAAGAAATACACGAAAGAAACCTTCTATCAAAATTATTATTACGATCAGTTCTTTAAAATACTTATGAATAATAAGCGAAGCAATATATATGGGTGGTAAATAGAAGATTTAATTTGATATTTAGATTTAGAAGAGTGTTGGTAAATTAACAGTTTATTTAATAACTATAACAACGGAGTACTGCCTCAGTCAACATTCTGTACTATACAATTATGTTAGAGGAATTAAACTAAACTATTATATAAAAACTATAAGTCAGATACACACTGCTAAGCTAAAGAAAATTGTCCTCTATTTATATAAATGAAAAATATAAAGTTATCAAAGATATAAAAGAAATAAATATGATAAATAAAATATATAAAATAAATAAAATATAATAAATATATGAGATA